ACTCGACGATTCTTCTAAGAAAAGATGGTAATCTAGTGAGAAAGGATTGGTGAATTAGAGGAATACCGTTTGTAGAGAGTTGATACCGTTTTTGTACCGAGATTTAAGCCGAATTTATATAACAAATAAATAACTATACTTCATAAGTGTTGTAGGCCTAATTCATGCACGAAAGGATAGAGTCTTTCTTCATCCGTTAAGTAGTGTGACTAGGCCCAGAATCTATTTATTCAGTACGCGTGCCAGTTTTTGAAGGGGACTTGAAAAACATGATCCTTTTCAAATGGCAAAAATAAGATTTCAGCTTGAATTTGTACCACCGTAGAATATTGAATTTCAAAGAAGCATTTCTATCTTTTTAGTCAATTTAAAATAAAATAATGTTTTCAAAGGTTTTGACAATTCGACTACTATCCTTTCGTAAATACTATTCGGCTCACTCACCCTCAATCAGTTGGGTGAGTTTGTGGAATACAATACAACTTCTCTACGGTCGGTATTAAATTAACATACTACTTTTATAAAAAAGTTTATCAAATATATCTTTTTTAAAAGAATAAAAGGGTGAAAATAATTGTTTGAGTTTTATTCACCTATCTTCCTCCGTCCATCTTTCTCTCACTTGTTTCCCACATTCTATCCCACCATTGTTACAACTCTGCCACCACAAGCTTCACCATAGTCTTTGAAAGGTCTATATTTAACCGGGTGTCATAAAGAGTGTTATAACACTATTTACAACATCATTTGTGACACTGATGATAGATACATGCAAATCAAAATATTTTTCTTTGATTCATCAATAACAAATTATAAGTGCAGAAAGATCAACAGAAACATAAAAGACACAAGGCATTGATATCGCAGTTCGGTGTTGTCACGTCCCCCAAGCGGGGTAGGTGACGTGAGCTCGATTAGGGATTAATAAGGTAGATTCCCAACCGGGCCTCACTCGACTGCATAAAAATATAATTAAATTACAGAATTTCGGAGCCTCTGACACACAGGGCTCCACCCCACAGGACATATAGTATCGTACATACATGCTCATGTAAAAAATCATTACAACAGATATCAACCACAATCTAGTTAATCCAAATATTACATAAGTTTACAGAATTCTCAAATTCCTTACATTTGTATCAGAGGATGACCACAATCCTCACTTGATTCCAACAGCAGCACAACTCAGCTGCTCCGTAGCAATTATCCAGCTACTGTGCACCGCTCCTAGAGTCTCCTGTGAGGGGTTTAATACATTTAAAACATAAAACGTGAGTGAAAGGCCCAGTAGGATGTTATTTACAAAGACGTAAAGTAAATAAATAGTTAAAGTGCAAGTAAATAAATAAATAAGTACGTAAATAAATAGACATTCAGTTCCAACAGACAGCCGGAACCTCACATCCTTTTTCTCAAAGGAAACAAATGTAAAATCTCCATATTACAGGCTTAGTAATTAGTACAAATTACTCACCTAACCAAGTGCCTCGCCAACCCAGACCGAGTTTTTGGTTCTGCCCCCAAGGATGCACTTTCCGCATCCTATCTAGGCTTACAGCAATAGACTCTATTACCAGTCGTTAATACGACCCCACGAACTACTCAAGCCGCGGGCCCCATGACTGGACAAGCCATGAGGTTCCATGACTAAACAAGCCATGGGTTTCAAAACGTTTTCTTTCACAAATCAATCCCTTTCTTTAAAACATTTTCAAGGCCAAAATCCTTTTTGAAAACAGGCTCACAAGGAAAAGGGATAGAAATCCTACCTCGCACGATCAACCTGGGACTAGCGTTGCCTTTTCCGGCCTTTCACTTCCTCAACCCCTTCAGTCTGAATCCTCAGCGATCACTGATGCAAGACAACACTTTAGGATCAATTCTCATTCCTAAAGCAATCCAAATCTCAATTTCCAACCAAGATTTCCTATTAGTGTGCCCTAATCCATTTTCATGTTTCAAAATATCATTCCAAGGGTTTTCAATCTCAAATCAAGGATTAACAATGCTAATCCATTTATCTCAAGTCCCCAAATGAAGCTAATTTGGGTTCTCCCTGAAAACAGGGGTCAAAACAGCAATTTCAGGCCAAATAGGGTCAAATCCCGTGTCAACCGGTTGACCGGTGACAGAGCAGTGCAACACTACTGGTCGACCGGTAGTGTGCACACCGGTCGACCAGACCGGTCGACCGGTCAGCCTGCAATCCGGTCGACCACATAGGTCGACCAGTTTCCATGTGATCCGGTCGACCACACAGGTCGACCAGTGGAATCAGCTACGCGAGAGAAGCTCGCGAAAATCAGTTCAAAACCTGTAAATCCAGTCCCAAATCGAGATATTTCAAAGGGAAACCACTAGATCTGAGTTCTAGGTCCTAAAACAAGTCCAAAGAACCCAAGATCTCCAATTTCTACTCTAGTTTTACTCAAAAACCATCAAAATCCAGTTTGAACCAAAAATAAGTTTTGAAATTCAAAAACTTGAGATTCAAGAGAGGTTCTTTCAGTAATCTTACCTCAAATTCTTCTCTGGACGTTGAAAACTTCTTTAAATCTTTCCTTGGTTCAAGATCCGTTTGATTTGGGACAAAAATGAGAGAGAGTGTGTGTGAGAGAGAGCACGGGAGAGTGAGAGAGAGAGTGAGGGAGGGAGACGCACGGGAAAGGAAGAGAAAAAGAAAAGAAAGGGAAAAAGGAAAAAGAAAAGAAAAGAAAAAGGAAAGGAAAAGGACATGTGTACCATATTTTAAAAGAACAGTCCAGAAATGCGCCCATACACATTTCTGGGTTAAAATAAATTACTGAGAATAATTTAAATACCTTAGAACTATTTAAACTCACACGTGTCAGAAATATTTATTAATTAAACTCAATTAATAATCCATATTAGGCACACTAATAATCTCAATTACCTTAATTAATCTCAATTAATTCTTCAGGGTGTTACAGGTCCACCCCCCTTAGGCAATTTCATCCCCGAAATTAAAGCCTACCTCAAAGTGTGAATAGATGCGGATACTGCTCCTGCATCGTCGTTTCAAGCTCCCATGTCGCTTCTTCAATTCCATGGTGCTGCCACAACACTTTCACTAATGGGATCTCACGATGACGCAGACTCTTTATCTTCCGGTCAAGAATCTGAACTAGTGCCTCCTCGTACGACGCATCATACTGTATAAGAATGTCGAACCATTGCACTACAGCTTTCGGTTCAGGTTGACATTTTCAAAGCATGGAGACATGAAACACGTCATGCACGTGAGATAATTCAGGCGGTAAAGCCAACCGATAAGCCACCACTCCGACTCGTTGCACGATCGGGAATGGTCCCACATACCTTGGTACAAGTTTCCCTTTCACACCAAACCGAACAACTCCCTTGTGTGGGGAAACCTTTAGCAAAACAAAGTCGCCTTCCTGGAATTCCAAAGGCCTATGCCTTCTATCAGCATAACTCTTCTGACGACTTTGAGCTATCAATAGTCGTTCCCGAATCACAGCTATCTTCTCGTTATTCTCTTGAATGACTTCCGGTCCAGTGCTCAGTCGATCCTCTGGTTCCAACCAACACACAGGTGACCTACAAGGACGACCATACAGAGCTTCGAATGGTGCCATTCCAATACTGGCCTGATAGCTGTTGTTATAAGCAAACTCGGCTAGGTGCAGGTATTTCTTCCAGTTCCCACCAAATTCCAGAATACAAGCACGAAGCATATCCTCCAGAATCTGAATTACCCTTTCAGATTGCCCATCAGTCTGAGGATGAAATGTTGTGCTGAAGTTCAAGTCTGTTCCTATGGCTTCCTGGAAACTCCTCCAATACCTTGCATTGAAACGTGTGTCACGATCAGACGTGATAGACAGCGGCACTCCATGTAGCCTCACGATGTGCTCCAAGTACAATTCTGACAGAATCTTTCAAGAATACGTCGCATGGAACGATATGAAGTGCGCGGACTTCGTCAACCTGTCCACCACCACCTATATGGCATCGTGCTTCAGCTCGGTTCTCGGTAGCCCCATCAGAAAATCCATAGTGATGTGCCCCCATTTCCATCCAGGGACAGGAAGAAGTTGTAACTCTCCTGCTGGCTTCCGATGCTCAGCTTTAATCCGGAGGCAAGTGACACATTCCGAGACATACTCACGAACGTCCCTTTTCATGCCTTTCCACCAGTACTGTCTTTTCAGGTCCTGGTACATCTTTATACTTCTCGGATGTATGGCATACCTCGATTTGTGTGCCTCTTGCAGAATCATCTTCTTTACCTCACTCGCCTTAAGAACAGCAAGGCGGTTGCGGAAATACAAGGCTCTATCCTCTCAGATTTTCCAATCCTCGAATTGCTCTCCATTCTGGATTCGAATCCAAATTCCTTGGAGGTGTGGATCTTGCCATTGATTCTGCTTGACCTACTGCACGATATCCGGTGTAGAGACCAGATTATACACCATAGCTTGGTTACAATCTTCGTAGAACTGAAGATCATACTCACTCACCACTTCAGTCATTTTTCAATCTTCCAAAGCTAACGATGCCAGAGCCCCCATCGTCTTCCTACTAAGGGCATCAGCCACCACATTAGCCTTTCCAGGATGATACTGCAGAGTGAAGTCGTAGTCTTCCATGTACTCCACCCATCTCCTTTGCCTGAGATTCAAGTCCTTCTGAGTGAACAAGTACTTCAGGCTTTTATGGTCAGAAAAGACTTGAAACTTTGCTCCATAGAGATAACATCTCCATATCTTCAGAGCAAATATTATCGCTGCCAGCTCCAAATCATGAGTGGGGTAATTTCGTTCATGTGGTCTTAATTGGCAAGATGCGTACGCTACCACGCGTCCACCTTGCATTAAGACACAACCAAGCCCACTCCCCGAGGCGTCAGTATACACCTCATATGGTTCTTCACTATCAGGAATAGTCAAGATTGGTGCACTTGTCAGTCTGACATTTAATTCCTGAAAAGCATTTTCACACTGAGCGTCCCACTAGAATCTGACTTCTTTCTTGGTTAACCGAGTCAGCGGTGCAGCAATACTCAAGAAGTCTTTCACGAAACACTGGTAGTACCCTGCAAGTCTGAGGAAACTGTGAATCTCCGCTACATTCTTCGACCTTTCCCACTGTAGCACAGTCTCGATCTTGGAAGAATCTACAGAAATCCCCTGTCCAGAAATCACATGCCCAAGGAATTTCACTTTTGTCAACCAGAAGTCACACTTTTCCTTCTTCGCATATAACTGGTGTTCACGAAGAGTTTGAAGAACAATTCTCAAGTGCTGCTCATGTTCTTTCTAAGTTTTTGAGTAAACCAGTATGTCATCAATAAAGACGATCACGAACCGATCCAAGTACAGTCAAAAAACACGGTTCATCAAGTCCATGAATGCAGCCGGGGCATTAGTCAACCCAAACGGCATTACCAGGAACTCGAAGTGTCCATATCGAGTTCTGAAAGTAGTTTTCGGAATGTATTCCTCCTTGATTTTCAGCTGATGGTACCCAGATCTCAGATCAATCTTAGAGTAGAACTGTGATCCACCCAACTGATCGAATAATTCATCGATCCTTGGTAGTGGGTATTTATTCTTCACAATCACCCTGTTCAATTGACGGTAATCAATGCACAACCGAAGAGATCCGTCGTAATTCTTCACAAATAGCACTGGTGCACCCTAAGGGGAAGTACTATTCTGGATATATCCCTTTTCTGCCAGCTCCTTGAGCTGCGTTCTTAATTCTTTCATCTCCGCCGGAGCCATCCGGTATGGAGGAATGGAAATAGGTGCCGTTCCCGGGACCAAATCAATACAAAATTCAACCTCCCGATCTGGCGGTAAACCAGGTAGCTTATCAGGAAATACATCTGTAAACTCATCCACTACAGGGATTCCCGCACTATCTCCAGTTATCTTAGGTTCACCTTCCAGAGCAAGAAGAGAAGAAAAACAGGCTAGATTCCTCCGTCCCCCAACACTATACTTCAACAGTCGTTCTCCTAGGACTGGATTCATATCCACATGATAAGAAATCACTATTTCAGAATTCATCACCAAAGTTACTTTCTACGGTAGCAATCAACAATCGCACCATACCTTGACAGCCAATCTATTCTGAGTACCACGTCAAACAGGCTCATCAGAAGGATAATCAAATCTGCTCTCAATCGCTCACCGTCAATCATTATTTTGCACGATTTACACACACTCATTACCTCCACATATCCCAGTGGGGAGTTCAAAATCATCGAGACTTCTAAATTCTCAGATTTCAATTTCAAAGCCCGAACAAAAGAACTTGATATAAACGAGTATGTGGCACCTGTGTCAAACAACACGTGAGCAAAAGAGTGAGAGATTAGAATCGTACCCTCAACCACTGCGTTGCTGGTCTGACCTCAAGAGCTGCCTCCTGCCAGGGTATAAGCTTGTTCCTGTACTTTTCCTTTCCTTTTGTCACCAACATTAGGCCGTTAAGTCGGAGGCCTATACTGTTACGGCGGAGGTGGTTGTACCGGTCTCGGCGCTTGAGGCCGGAATTGTGTAAGCATAGGTGGTTGATAAGTCGGCACAAAAGGGTATGGCATCTGTTGTGGCTGATATGGTGGCATGTACGGTGGTGGCCCTTCTTGACTGTAGGAAGCGTCACTTTGGGCTTGTTGAGCCGGCGGCCAATTAGGACAATTCCTCCTAATATGGCCCACCTGCCCACAATGGTGACACCTGGGCCCGTACGGAGCATTTCTGTCACTTTCGGACGAATTACTGTCACCACTTGCCATCTCCCCAACCGTTTGTCCCTGGTTACGGTTTCTCCTACCGCTCCGCTGTGGCCCACCTGAGACAGAAGGTCTACCAGAGATAGAGACTTGACCCGTTGCTTCTTTGCTTTGGTGATAGGCCAAGTTATCCTGTTCCACCCGTGTAGCAGCCGCTACCAAATCCTAGAAGGTTCGAAGTCTCAGAGCCACCAAGGATCTCCTCACAGAGTTCTTGAGGCCTTTCTCAAACTTAAGGCACCTCATGTGTTCAGACTCCACTAGTGATGGCGCAAACCGGGATAGGTCATTAAACTTGGCCTCATATTCCCTTACAGACATGTATCCTTGTAGTAGAGACATAAATTCCAACGCTTTTTCTTCCCTGTAACTCTGAGGGAAGTATTGTTCATTGAACAACGTCTCAAACTGTTCCCAGGTCAACCCTGCGACATCTATTCTCCTCTTGACCTGTTTCCACCAAGTGTTTGCTAATCCCTCCATCTTATACACAGCAAATTCCACCCAGTATCCCTCTGGGACTCCCATAGTACTCAAGTGCTTGACTATGGAGTCTTAACCAGAACTCTGCTTCCTGGGGTCCTCCCTCACTATTAAACGAGGGGATAGGCGCACGCCTAAATTCCCAGAAGTACCCTTACTTCCTATCCTCAACAGGCTGCTCGTTTTGAGCTCTTGTGGCCATGCCTTGAAAGGCAGCATACATGGCATCCAGAAATCCCTGATTCTGTTGTGCCGGTTGATTAGCGGGCCTACGGCGATGCGCCATTTCCTTTAACTGAAATAAAACTAGACTGTTCAGTGGATAACATATGTCACACATGTATGTACAATCTTGGGGTTTCTTAACCTAGGGCTCTGATACCACCTTTGTCATGCCCCCCAAGCGGGGTGGGTGACGTTGAGCTCGATTAGGGATTAGTAAAGCAGATTCCCAACCGGACCCCACTCGACTGCATAAAAATATAATTAAATTACAGAATTCCGGAGTCTCTAACACACATGGCTCCACCCCACAGGACATACAGTATCGTACATACATGCTCATGTAAATAATCATTACAATAGACATCAACCACAGTCTAGTTAATCCAAATATTACATAAGTTTACAGAATTTCAAATTCCTTACAGTATCAGAGGATGATCACAATCCTCACTTGATTCCAACAGCAGCATAACTCAGCTGCTCCGTAGCAATTATCCAGCTACTGTGCACCGCTCCTAGAGTCTCCTGGGAGGGGTTTAATACATTTAAAACATAAAACGTGAGGGAAAGGCCCAGTAGGATGTTATTTACAAAGACATAAAGTAAATAAATAGATAAAGTGCAAGTAAATAAATAAATAGGTATGTAAATAAGTAGACATTCAGTTCCAACAGATAGCCAGACCCTCACATCCTTTTTCTCAAAGGAAACAAATGTAAAATCTCCATATTACAGGCTTCAGCAAGTAATTAGTACAAATTACTCACCTAACCAAGTGCCTCGCCTACCCGGACCGAGTTTCGGGTTCTGCCCCCGAGGATGCACTATCCGCATCCTATCTAGGCTTACAGCAATAGACTAAATTACCAATTCACAAGATCTCTTTGCTTAAGAAATCATTCATTAACATTTTGAAATCGTTAATACGACCCCACGAACTACTCAAGCCGCGGGCCCCATGACTGGACAAGCCATGAGGTTCCATGACTAAACAAGCCATGGTTTTCAAAACGTTTTCTTTCACAAACCAGTCCCTTTCTTTAAAACATTTTCAAGGCCAAAATCCTTTTTGAAAATAGACTCACAAGGAAAAGGGATAGAAATCCTACCTCGCACTATCAAACCTGGGACTAGCGTTGCCTTTTCCGGCTTCCGCTTCCTCAAGCCCCTTCAGTCTGAATCCTCAGCGATCACTGATACAAGATAACACTTTAGGATCAATTCTCATTCCTAAAGCAATCCAAATCTCAATTTCCAACCAAGATTTCCTATTAGTGTGCCCTAATCCATTTTCATGTTTCAAAATATCATTCTAAGGGTTTTCAATCTCAAATCAAGGATTAACAATGCTAATCCATTTATCTCAAGTCCCCAAATGAAGCTAATTTGGGTTCTCCCAAAAAACAGGGGTCAAAACAGCAATTCCAGGCCAAACAGGGTCAAACCCCGTGTCAACCAGTCGACCGGTGACAGA